TTCTGCTAGATGATAGAGGATTTTTGCCTACTTTAAACTATAAGTGACATTTTTTTATGACACGTCCATAAACGAAATGACAACAGAAAACACAAGCACCGTTAAAATAAATTCGTACTTGTTGTGAGATTCAAAAAGAGGCACAATGATTCCTATATATTTTTGATAAGCACGTTTTGAAAGACATATTTTTCAATCAATCAATAGAACATTATCCCCTCTTCGGAGCAATTTGTTATTCATATTTGTCGTAAATTCATAAATAAAATGGAGCTAGAAAAAAAGAGAAAGACTCCGGCAATAAATTTGCAATTTTTATATGCACTTGTAAAAGCCATAATGTAAGATGATTGCTAATTCCATTTTTGGCGAATTATTGGAAAGACCTTTTGAAATGGTGACTAATTTGATCTTTATGAACTTATTAAAGTAATTTTGTAAAGCGGCTGTCTATCAAAGCTCGCTGTCGTCTACTCAGGTCAAAGAAATCAGACATTTGTTGTCGTGAGACTAGATGAAATCGTACGAAAAAAACCCTGTTCTCAGAAGGCTTACATCAATTCGTCCTAGAAGATTCTTCTAAGACTTTACTATGGTATAAGATTTTCTAAAATCTTCTTGTACTATCTTACAGAACAGAAAGATGTTTTAAGAATTTTCTACTACCACTTAATATAAGATTTATGAGATCACAATTATTGTGCACGATTTAATCCCATCCAACAAAAACTTACATTTTATTTTTTGACCTGGAATCGAAAATTTCTTGGGCTAGTATTCTCTGTTTCCTTGCCTCATTTAACCTACGATTCATTGACAAATACGAGTCATATTGTGTTCCACTGAGGGGAAAGTTTCTTATCAACTGATAGTAAAGTACTCTTTTTCAGAATATGTTTATCGAAAAGATATAAGAATTCATATGTTGTGCTGTAATTCATAGGAGAAGTTAGAACTCATTTTAGGGTGCTTCATATTGTTGTTTCACTGCTTTGTGAATGGATATGCTACAAAAACAAGTTATGTATGATTCGAAAAATGAAATTGTTTTAATCTTCTTGTCAATGAAGGTTGTCTTGCAGCATCCTTCTGTTGCAGAGCTATAGGAATCAACATTTGTCCCATTACTTTTGCATCAGATGTTACATGAAAAGCTGCAGCTCAGATTTCTAAAGACTCCTTGAAACTTCAAAATACTTCATGAGACTTCAAAGACTTCATCAGGCTTCAAAGATTTAATCAGACTTCAAGACTGAAGACTCAGTTATTTACTCCCAGGGTATTTAATGGTGCGGACGGTTGTCTGTCATGATCTATGATGTTGTTCTCGGGTGTCTGTTAGAGTCTGTATGCAGGATGCGATGGTTTACTTTTCTCATTATATCCTTCAACACTGCTTCTATTAATTACTCATTAGGTATTCATCAAGGGTCATTAATGAGTTACTAACTAGCTATTGCTTAGTGAATAATTAGATACTCATTAGGTATTTTAAAAAAATGTCTACCACAGTCTGTGCTGGATAGAATGGGAGAGTGGATGTAAACTTCTACCCTATATACTTCAAGGCTCCTTTTAGATCGTCTCTCACAAAATAATGAGTAAGTTACTAATGGATGTACAACGAAACGAACTTGAATTCAGTGATTCAAAACCTGAAGAAGCCGATCTCAAGGATTCGACAGTTCATAGTTCATCAGATATAAACAGTGCATTTGCAAGTGATAATGATATGAGCAGCAGCGATGAAGAAGTTGAGGATGAAACTATCCGTGACGAAGGAATTTTTTCCGATCTGCTGACAAAACTACGAACTTTGAAAGAACTAGTCTCATCTGATGACAGTTCAATTAAGTCGACTTTACTTCAGTTTCAACGCATTATTTTGGAACTTGTCAATGTTATTGAGGCAAATAAAAGTATTAACATTACGAACGACGATGTCTTAGCAGTCAAAAAACGTTTCAGACTTTTCTTCAAATCATCACTAGACATGAGCGATGTTTTTCGTTTCGCTGAAGTTGATTCAACTGGTGGAAGGGAAGTGCTGTATCTCTATTGCGATCTATGCAAGTTATTTGGTATTCAAAGTTATTTTATGCACGCTGAAATCGATGAGGTTCGTATAAAACTTTACCGGAGTTGCATCGTAAACATCCTGTCAATAATGACTTATATCACGTCAGCGTTCACTTTTAACAATAGTGATGCAGAAAAATTAAGTAACTACAATGAAATCCTTGGTTCTATGCTGAGTTATGTGAAAACAGATTTAGAAACGTCCACGAATCCAGAGCTTAGTAAAACAACAAAATTAATATTAGACTTTATATGGAGTTATGCAGATAAAACTATCTTAGTACCGAACTTGATCAAAGTTGGATATAGTGAAGCAGTGTTGCAGTGGTTGTCAACTATTTATGAGTAAGTACGATTTAAATCTTGGAATTCATCTCAGTTGAGGTATTATAGAATGGGCTTATGATAGAAAGTGAATTGGGTAGGCACAAGCTTTAGCAAGAGAAATTTTATAGAAAAGTTTTAATCAAAAATGCATTAATATCGACGAATGGCTAGGTGGGCAAGTGAAACGACTCTCCACGTCACACTCACACACATAATTCGAGTCCCTATCTACCGTCATGTATACACCCAGCCCTCGCCTTCTTCTCCTACGACTTCCAATCCACCCGGCCAACGGTATCCACTGATTCATAGGTCTTCAATAAATATAAATTCCCTGTCGATGCAGTTTCTCAATTCAACATTTTGATGCAATCTGTATTAAATAGAAATTATTTATTCTGATGCTCTTTCTCTCTCCGAAAAACGTCAAAATAACTCTTTTAGATTATTGACTTTTTCATGTTTTGGACGGTATCTGACTATAACATGTCTATTAAGGATCTATGGATCGATCAAACCGAATGGTTTTATAGCTTTGAGGACCTTCTATATATTTAGATGCTTCCCACCTTGAATGGTCCAGTATTGGACAGATGATCCTACAATGATGAAGGTATTAAATCGTGTGTAAGTGTAGCTGTTAACTTGAACTCAATCAGTGTTGTTAGTGGTGCTCTTAGCAGCCAAAACGAAATCGACCAAGATGTTGAATGTAGTCATGATTCAACGAGACATTGCGTACAATACGCTAATACCAAAAGTGGAAACATTTTCTCCAGCAACATTGAGTAGTTCGTTGGCCGATTACCTACAAAAGATCTTTTTTTTCAGCATCTCACTATAAAAATGTATTTGAGAGAATGAATCATATGATTTAATACCAATATTGGAGACAGCTCGTAAAACTGTATCTTTTGGCATAGAAGACATAATTTGAAAGCAGTAGCATGACAAGAAAAGTACGACAAGAACTCACCACAGGAATCTGTCAAAAACGTGCTCTGAAACATTTTTCATGGTCACGCTAGGAATTTAAAGTTTTAATTTATGTACCAAACCATATAGTTTTGTGAGCTACATTCGATCGTGCACCTAGATTTTTGTGACGCCTTTCTTTAAGACCATTTTACCGAGCATACTAGTTTCTCAAAAACTCGGGTTTTGCGAAATTCACGTATGTTTTTGAAGACAATAGTGAGTATATTGTTTTAAACCGAGGTTTTGGCGGCTCCCGCCACCACTCGTAGACCCTAACAACCGAAATGGCAGGAAATTGAAGTCTATCCGAAACTCTCCATAGCAATGGTCCCTAGCAACCATATGGCGCGAAACTATACATTACCTAATATGTTTTCATGGCAACCATTATCCCGCCCCTTCTCCCATTACAGATCATTACAAACAAATTAACTAATTAGCTAATTATGGAAACTATGAGTAATTAATTCATAAGCTATGAATAGTATTTTTAATATTTAATATTTTTAAGCATATTTTTAGTGTTTATTATCATTTCACATGCGTTGCATGCATATAATCTTTATAAAGTAGATACAAGCTATGCATTAAAGATGTATCGGACAAAAGAAAAACTTTCTTTTTACAGTAATTATCCATATGAGGCTTTGAAAAAATAAAATTCCAGAGGACACTTATTAAATATAAAAACTTTTATAACTCTGATTTATTCATTTGCTGAATATTAATTTAATTCGTTGTTTTGGAACTTAAGATGATTTGTAATAAATTCATAACTGTCAGAGATTGTGAGTTTCACATTTCAGCACCGAAGGTGTTGCACTCAGAATTGTATTTCAATATTGCGATCATAGTGATGACGTCCCAATTTTTATGGCGAAGAGAAAAAAGTGGAGGTTGTAGAGCAAACATCATTTTATTCCATAGCATAGATGAGTATAATGTTGTATGAAGCTTTCAGTGAATTCTGGGTCAAATATAATTCCATTTTTTGTGCATGATTTAGAGAAGGTATAAAAGTCAATCTAGACTAGCTCCTAAGGACAGTGTGTGAAGAATTCGAAATCCATGCACCTATCAATAACTTTTCATGGCGTCTTTCTTCGATAAGTTTGGTACTCATACGAGTACCATATAGGATTCCATATTCCAGGGTAATCTGAGAACCGGTAAAATAGATAATGGGTTCGAATGAGCAACTTTTGTACAAGCTATTTATTCAAGCAGCTTGTTGTCGAGCTTTTGTACTTTCATCTTTGCGTGGCATTTCTAATCTGAAGAGATCCAAGCATTTTGTATTCGTTCTTTTAACTTGAAATTGTGCGATTTTTCTTTTTTTTAGATACGATGAACGGCATAGCCCTGTTGTACGAGTACGTAACAAACTTTTGTGTCTATCACAAGCTCAACTAAGACTAAAGTTGTTTTTATAGACAAGCCACGAGAAAATAATTGCTGTACATCCATTAATCAGCATCATCCACAACATTAGTCGTCATGATGATGGAATAAGCAGACTAAACTCTTTTAACGCTCTTAGTCTCATCAAACAATTTCGAAATGAAATGACTTATACTAATAGCAGCAAAACAAGCGAGATAATCATTCTCAGCAGCATGACTTTAGCTCTTCTTTCAACTCCTGAAGAAATAAAGAAAGATCGCAAGCGTATGAACGATGTTCTTGATCAATTATTACAAATTGTTGTTGATACATCGCAATCAAAAGAATACACAGCTCATGGATTTCATATTTCAGAACCATTGATTGTCTTAGTGAAATTGATTTGTTATGACCGTACGTTGGATTATATTTTACATCATGCACAAGTCGATTTCGGTGAAGAGAAAGAAGAACCAATTGTAAAATTCTTTATTGATATCTTCTTAAAATATTATTCAATTGTTAAAGACGATAATCCAATGAAAGTACCTACATGCACCGCCCTCGTGAACATTCTCTGGAGTGTATCACTTCGACCTCAATACAAAGAGGAATTACAGTCAAATCAGGAATTGAAAAAACTAATAGAAAAGACTATCAACGACAAACAAGACGATCAGCCGTCTACATACTATGTACCGCGTTATATCGAAAATATACAAAAAGCGGCTCAAGGCATTCTCTGTAACATTAGTGATCTATCAAAGGAAACTGATAAGTTAGAACGACGAAATATATTAGGCCTGCGTGCGTTAGTCCTTAATATGATGTCAGAATCAGCGGATAGTACAACTGATCCGAAACCACGGAAACCTAGCATCATGATCAGTTATTCACACGGAGATAACGAGGTCTGCACTCAACTATATAATGAATTAGCAAAGAGACATGAGGAGTTTGATATTTGGATTGATCGTAAATATTGTAAAACCGGATATCTATGGGGTAAAATAGCTGATGGTATAGCAGAGGCAAGTGTTGTTTTATGTATATTATCACAAAAATACTACGAAAGCAAATCATGTCAACAGGAATTCGTTTATGCACATGATCATCTGAAGAAACAGGTGATACCGGTGTTTATAGAACAGGATAAGCCACCTGGTTGGATCGGTAAGTATTTGCAGTAATGCCCGAGTTACTTATAAGTGAGCTTTGAACTGAACTTCCGTAGAATAGAGACAACTATGCGAGAAATACGTTTTCTATTATTGCGAACAATTACACAACATAATGAGATTTTAGTACTCTCTCAAAAAAGATGTCATAGTGAACTTATTAGAATTTTAGATTTTGTAAGCATTTTTCCTACCCTTTTAAGGTTCTAGTAAGATATGGTTCCATCTGTAACATTTTACTCTTCTTCCGAAAACAGTTCTACTCTGCTAAAAAGGAGTCCATCCAACACACTTATACTAGTACTGCTGATTTGGTCAAAGGTTCTTTCTGCCAATCTCGCTATGTAAAACGAACCAATTTAAATTACTTTTCAGCAAGACCGAGTACGCTTTTTATTTAATTCCCTAAACTCTATGTCTAACCCTGCATACTGCACCCTCTCTTAAGGCTATGCTTAACCCTTCATTCTATATCTAACGCCGTTATTTCAATCCCTAACGACTCAATTCTATGTCTAACCTCTGGATTCTATGTCTAATTCATTACTTGTATCATTAACTCCTAATAATGTATCTCACCCTTTATTAAAATATCTAACTTTTGATTCTATATTTAACCTTTAATTCTATTCTTAACCTCCTTATTCTTTTTTCTAATCCCTTATTTGTACGCCTAATCCGTCTCGCTTTTGCATGATCCTGTATTTGCAAACATGCGTGAATACAAACACAATTTGTAGTGTCACGGATTTATGCACTTCTGGCCACAATGCAAGTGGCACACCGTAGTAGGAGAAACAACTTAAAATTTTTCCTTTACTACAAAGGGATACAAAGTTTACGCCCCCCGCCCCACCAAAAGGCACTACAAGGGACAACAAATTCTGCAAAGAGTATAGCTGTGGGATGTGGATACAGATATATAAATGTGCATACCTTAGTGTGAAAAAAGAGATTACCCCATTCCACCCATACACCCATCCCCATCCCAATCTAGAATATGCACAATTTGGGTTTCATTGTAGTCTTGTGTAGTC